GCCCTCCGTGATGGCATGCACGAAGTCTGTCTCCCGGATATCTGCAGGGGAACAGCCAGGGCCGGGATGCGGGGTCAGCTCTGGCAAAGACTCTGCAAGCAAAGCATCCCCCCACCAACATCCCATGGGGGCTTGGACCTCCCCCTTCATCTGTGCTCGGTGCTGTTCCCTGGGTGATGCACCCACCCTGGAGCGGGCTGCCTGGGGCAGAAGCTGTGTCTTGCAAGCAGATATGCAGAATCTGGGGGATGGCCAAGCCCTGCTAGCATTCCTCCACCTCACCTGTAGGGTCCTAGGGGCAGCAAATCTCCTGCCTCCCCTTGCAAGGATGGGTGCTGCCCCACAGGAAAGAGGGGAGCTCGGAGAGCAGGGGGGTCCCGGGTGATCAGGTGGTACCCACAGCTTCCCCACACTACCCTCCAAGCAGTAAAAATCCCATCCCCAGCTGCAAGCTGGCACCTGGAGAGAAGTGCTGCAAGGAACACCACGGGTGCCACTCACCCCTCTACAGGGTGGCAGCAATGAAACTGTGTTGCCCGCTCTCCCCCCATACCCACTTTGCCACGGGGTGCTGCCTGCCCCCCTCCATCTGCCGGCGCAGCCTCCACCCTGCAGGATTATTTATTATTAGTATTTGCTCCTGTCTCTCTCTGCTCCGGGACATGAATTCCAAGCATCTTTCCCCTGCCCAGACCTGCCGCTCTCAGCCGCAGCCAGCGGGGGATTCTGGCAGCGGGGCCGTGGCGCCCTGCTTGGGGGGCTCCTGTGCTCCCCCCACCCCATGCCAGGTGAACCCCTGCCCACCCAAATGCCAGGGCAGGGCTGGCCCAAGGTTGTGACACACAGGGGATGCCTGGGGCATGGGGATGGAGGGGAAGGTGTGTGTTGGGGGGTGCCCCATCCCTCCATCTCCAGCACTCCGACTTGGGGGGGCTGTGGGAAGAGGGGTTCCTGTGCACCGGCTCCATGAGCAGATCCTTCACAAGCCCACGCAGCACCTGATCCCCACTGGTGTTGGTAGGAACTGGGCACACTGGTGTCTTTCCAGCAGTGCCACCCTGGGGATGCGTGTCCCCTGCCCTAGCCCTTTTGCCCCCCCTAAGTCACACGACCACCCGCTTGCTCCTGCCTGGGGCTGGCAGATCCCTCGGCACGCAGCCCGCAGCTGGCAGCAGTTCCTGTGCCACCCTGCCAGCCGGGGCCCCGGGGGGATGCCGCTCCTCTGACAGCTCTTCCAGACACGTGGCTGCCCCCAAGCCAGCCTGCCCTGGCACAGCCTGCCCTAGCACGCCGGCACAGGCGGCAGGGAGGGAAGGGGGGACGACCGCGACTGTGCTGGGGAGGCCATGGCCAGGAACTGCTGCAGCATCCTTGGAAAGAAGAGGCTGTCAGATGGGAGGTGCCCAGCTGATGGCAGCAGGGAACCCCAAAAATGCTGGGATGGTTTATGCAGTCCCTGCAGGCTTACAGGGAGGCTGGTGGCTGCTGGCATCTCTCAGTGCAAGGCAAGCTGTCTGCTTCTGACACCCACAATGCAGCCCTGGGGACCTCCACACCTCTAGCTGGCATGTCCCATGTCCTCAGAGTGCCAGGGGCTCCCAAACTCACCACTGTCCCCAGGGCATTGCTCATCTCCGCTGCCCCAGCAGTGAGGCTGGGCCAAACGGAGCGTGGTGGCATCCCCATGCCTGATGCCCCTGCATCTCCTCCAACCCAAGCTGCCTCTGGGTACCCAACAGCTCATCCACCAGCATCACCCACTTACCACCCTGTCTGGCCCTGGCATCCTGGCACCACCCCACTTCCAGCCTGGAGCCCTGCCTGGCACAGATCCCACCTGCCTCGCTGCCAAGTTGGTATGAAAATAGGTGACTCCAGAGGCAGGAATGTCCTTGTGTGCCCTGGCTCTCTGCCACTCAACTGAATACACCTCCCTGTGTTGGGGGAACCCACAATGCAAATCAGCTTCTTAAATGAGCCTGCCCCCCCGCCATGGGCCGGTGTCTCCCTCGGGGCCCCAGCTCTGCCCCCCACTGCTACCCGCAGCCGTTGGGTGCCCAGGGCACTCTGCCCTTGCCAATGCCCCCAGGGAGGCTGCTCTGACCCCCCTGCAAGGCCCAAGAGCATGCCCACTCTGCCTTGGCACAGCAGATACTCCAGCAGAAGATGTGTTGGCCAAGGAGACTGAGGCTTGCTCCAGCACCTTCATCCGCCCCGGCACAGGGACCAACATGGGAACAGAGGCAGGACTAAACTCACCACCTACTAAGTGGCCCTACCAGCCCGAGGTGCTTTGAGCATCCCCCCCTTCCCTATTCACCCTCCAGCCTCTGTCCCTGGGGAGCGCGGCAGGGCTTTCCCATCCCTTACAGACTCAGGGGTGCCCCCTCGCTCTGCCCCTGCTCTGGCTTTGATGCAGCTGGGCTGGGCTTGCAGCACTGTACTCAACTGGCTGGGACCTGCCCATCCCTCCCTGCCACCCTGCCCCTGTCCCTCGGGGGAACATCAGGGTACCCACCCAGGGACACAGGGATGGGAGGGCAAGCAATTGTCTCCTCTGCTCCCTGCAAGGCCAGGAGGAGGGATCTGCAGGGCACCCATGGGGCGAGGGGCAGCTCCCAGTGGCTGCACGCTGCCTCCCACCCGGGCCCCTTCCCCCAGCACACCCCGGGGTCCTGGGGGAGCAGTAAATCACTGCCAGACGAGGGTGCATTCTTGGGCTTTGTGAAGCCCCGCGCTGTCTGGGAGCATCGGTAATTGCTTCATTACAACACGGGGAGACATGTCCCAGCAGTAAAACCTCAGCGTAACTGCACTGGGGAGCACTGAGCAACCCCCTACACACACACACACACACACACTCCCCGAGGTTTGCACATCCAGACTCTGCTCCAGGAGTCCCGGGGAGGCACGTGACTGGGTGGCTGGAGGCTTTCTGGGAGATGGGAAGCCGAGGAAGTGCTGGCCTTACCCTGCTGCAGGATCTTGCCAAAGTACTTGCTGTGGCTGGTGCAGTTCCAGCGGCGGAAGCGGAATTGGTACTGGCACTCCCGGACACCGAGCTTGGTGCCTTTGGCCACCTCCTGCACGATCTCTGGATCCAGCTGGCACAGCTCCGACTGCTTCCCCGCCAGCCGCTTCGACTTGCGGCAGGTT